TCATCAACTTTCTCTTCGCATAGCCACAATTCTCGGGTCACCTTTCAAATAGACCAATCTACAGGGTGATTCAGAATAACTGTCACCGATTTCTCATATATGCAATTCTCAAGTAAATACAAATATCAGCTTGCATTGGTAGTAGGGTAGAGCGCTACTTCGTCGTAATCGCCCATTTCCGTTCTATCGATCAGAAAAGATCAATAATATCAATGATTTCACCGTGCACAAATCAATAACAGGTTTGTTCCGATGCGTTAGTTGATTAGCTACAACATAAACCCTGTTAGAGCGCATTGTATGAATATTTACGCTCATTGTTCTCAAAACAAAAGAAGCGCACCTAGCGAATTCTCTTTATCTACGTTTATCCGTAGGACGAAGAAAATCTAATGGCGTTTCAATGCGTTAGGACGGAATTGAAACTCGTAGAACGAATTTAAAATCAAGAAGCAGTATTAGATTTTGAACAATATCTCAACAATTTGTGACTCTTTATCAAATCCAACGGTACGTATGGAAAGGTGGATAAATTTAGAAGTCATCTTTGACAGAAATATTCCATTTTTGATTAAAATTCGTTCAGAAAAGAGAGGTAAAGCACGGGTTGTTCTTAGTAAGACGGAAATTAGATCAAAAACCCTATGATTTGAAATTTCATTCGTTCCCGATTTCAAGAGCCATGGACGTGACAATGGAGCATGTCATAAATCTGTGTATGTAAATTCGTGTGTTATCTTTTAGAAACTGAAATCTTTTCGAAAGAATGAAACCATGAAAGGAACCATGCGTGGAAAATCCGTTCAATATCAAAGCTAAGACGCATCGGCAGGACTCCAAAAGGGCTGGAGCTAAAACGTGCGTGCCACATGACAAATGTGTGTGCCGCGTGACAAATGTGACTGGTAATTAAAGGTAAAGGGAGAGAGATTTGAATCAAAGTATGCTTAGTTGAAGGTTATACAGGGTGTTACGTTCGTTAGTGCAAATAATTTAAGGGACGATAGGGTTAACTACCCCATTTCAGGCCTATTAAGCACAACCCGCACTTAGTCTTTCATATTCTAGAGCAGTTTAGCACCAAACGGAATGTTATTATTATTAATGTCTTCCAAATTTAACAACACTGCTCCTTGACGCCAAGCTCGGCCTACGGATTCTAAACTCGGCCTAACGCATTGAAACGCTATTAAAACGCCAATAAATTCACTTCGGCCTATCGGATGAAGATACAAATTGATTCGGTCGGACCGCTTCTTTCGTTTTTGGGAATAATGGGTGCAAACCTTCATATCACGCGTTCTCATTGACTTTGTTCGTTAGATTATTAACTAAAGTATCGTACCAAACGCATAACTGCCTTGTTAACTCTGAACTCAAGTTTTCTGCTCGATAGGCCCAAAATGGGCGGTTAGGCCGAAGTTTTTTTTTTAAGTAAAAAATTGTTCTACGTATATGATCAAATCTCAAAGATTACTGAGTTATTGAACTTTTTTCTTTTTGGTCTATGCTACATATAAATTGGCTTTAACTATGCCATTTAGCTCAAAACTCTTGTCTCCATTGGACAGCTTGGTAAATTTCCTACTTAATAGTGTCATTTAAGTAAGCTACTAAGTTTAGACACATTTTAGGGATAAACGATGACGTCTGTTTGCAGCGCGCATAGCACACTTGATCGCCACGCGGAGTGACGGAAGAGACCGGAAGGAGGTTCAGGTACTGCATCCAAGAAAATGGAGGACACATAGAGCAACCACAGACAAACGATACTTTTAAATTTACCGTTAAATGCTTGTTCGATGAACAATTTGCGAGAGTTATGTCTGTTTGTCTGTGGAGCAACTATTGAAATATGAAAGAAACGAAGATCAGTGTTTCAATTTGATTAATCATTGGAAAATACCCAATCAGTTCAGTGAACTGATCTACATTGGTATCGAGATAAAAAAAACAGAACACTTTCAATTTTCATTATGCGTTCAATTGAACCCCGCAGCATTGTTTTTCTTGTCACACTTTTCATACCGCCACTCCGCGTGGCGATCAAGTGTGCTATGCGTGCTGCAAACAGACGTCAACAGCAACGCACAGTGGGGTTGAATTCGTGTTTTACGCAACCGTTAATTAACGACCCAACATGATGTGTTTAGTACGAAAGTGCGACAAAACTAAACAAGATAGAAAATTTGTGTCAAAGAGAGAGAGAGAGAGAGAGAGTTGTAGAGCGCATTGAGAGGCATCTTTTGGTTAGACGAAATAATTCACTTTAATACGTAGTTCTTGAAATAATAAAGGAAAATATAAGTTTTAGACTCGTTTATTCCTAAAATGTGTCTAAATGCAGCTAATTTAAAGTAAAAATGACACTATTAAGCAGGAAATTTGCCAAGCTGTCCAATGGAGGCAAGAGATGATAAATGGCATAGTTTTCGAGTTAGAGCCAATTTATGGCAAGCTAAGACCAACACAGAAAAAGTTCAATAACTCAGTAATCTTTGAGATTTGATCATATGCGTAGAACAATTTTTTTACTTCAAATATGATCTTCTATCGCCCTTAAATTATTTCCACTATTTCCACAGCCGAACACCCTGCACAGTTCTAAAAAGTAGTGTAAATGTCTGTTCAATATGATGCACATAAATGTAGCGTCACAAATAATATACGTTTAGATTATATATCATGTAAAGTTCTGACACATTTCATGCAATGTAGCAAATATTGCATACCAAAGCCCATCTTTGTAAACAACATTGTTTGCAAGTTGCTCGGTTGCGTGAAATGAAACCCAAAACTACGTGAATGAATGTTTACATCACAATTAAAATTCAAAATTTTTGTCTGTGTGTATATTAATATACCAGTTAGTATATCTGAAATGAACTGATATCAAAAAATCATGCAAGACTTCAATCATTATGACCATTTTTAAAAGTGACAGTTATTCCAAATCACCCTGTACATTGATCGATTCTTTTAATAACTCGGCTCCAAAAACATGTTCAGCTGTTCTTATCGTCCAATACGCTTAATAATACTTTCTTTTAACAGGCAATGTAGAAAAATTAGCCCGAAATATATATGCAGCAAAGTTATAAACGAAAGAGAGAGCCTATGAAGAGAATCGATCAATATAGATGGTGTATTTGCAAAATGACGCGAAAGTTCAGTGAACCAATTTTTTGAAATGATCACACACTCAAAAAAATTATCACTTATCTCATGAGATTTTCACATAGCTTTCCTGTGATCGCATAGCAGCAAATCCCACCACAAAATCACATGAATATTATGAGGTCCATGAAATTCATATGAAAAATCATATAAAATTAATGTGATCGCATAAATGTTATGTGAAATTCAGATGAATTCCATAAATTTTGATGATGGATGAAAATCATGTGCGTTTCCAATGGAAGCTACATGAAAATTATTTTCGGTGCAATACAGTGTAGTGAAAATTCAACATCAAACACACCGAAAAATGTTAATCCAGCCGAGTTATTAACAAAAGAGAAAATCGATGAAGAGAATCGATCATCGCAGTTAGACCCTCATGAGCAGAACTCTCCAGCGATGACACAGTGTACTCCATAGAATAGAACGATGCCCTTGTTCCACAAGTATGATTCGTTTTCCTCAATACAATTAAAGCTTAATATAACGCACACCGTCAATTGTGAGTGATAGGGTTTTGGGGGTTTTACTAAAGCAGCTGCAGTTGTGTAAGGAGTTTGATCATGTCACTGTCATGTTATGTCACTCAAATTTAAATGTTTAATCGAATCCCCTGACACGACCGAATGTTCTTGAAGCTGCCGTCATTGATAGTGGTAACGCTAATGTCAGCTTAATTTTAAGTCTCGTTCATGCGTTAGGGCCCATGCATTATTTATGTCATGCTAAATCGAGCAAAAAATTACCCCCTCCCCCCTATCGTGATGTTTTTCCTATACCTAATGCATTGCTTGTCAAAAAATCTTAGACAACCCCCTTAGAGCGTGACATAATATATGCATCAACCCTTACCATTATCATGGTTAGCCGATGAGATCCAACCATCCGAGTATGTCCAATCGATAGCACGGTCATTGATTCTTGAAGCCTTCGTGAATTCACTTTCATGCACTTTTTCTCATAATTGCATAGAGCGGTAGAACAAAACAGTGGAATTCACCGAGACAACCATCGAAAACACCATGCACGTGAACATTTTCAACTATACCTCAACGTTACCATGACCGGTTAACCAAACGCATAAACGAAGCTGAAACTCGTAATGTTTACATCAGCTGTCAATAACCGACGTATAATCGAACCAAAGAACCAACAAAAATCGGCTTCATGCAAAGTGTTCTTGGATGACTTTAGTGCCACCAGAGTGGTTTAATCACGACCCAAGTGACCATCAAGCCTGCAAATCGTCCTTTTTGCAAAATAAGGCTTATATGTTGTTTAGAAGCCCTATGTTGACCTTATAATGCAAAAAGGGCGGGCTTGCTAAACCCTCTGATACTTAATAATACAGAACCCATTAAACAGACATCGTGAACTCATCAAACGGCTCCATTACCATCTGAATCCGCTGCTTATTATGTAAGCACATCACATTAGCATTTGTATTCGCAGCAAATCTCCATGTAAGCTCTTTTTCCCAAGCAACATGGGAACGGCATGTTTCCGGAAAACACCCACTCAAGCAAAAGCGGATTTTCTTTCTAATCACTTCGATAACGACGAAATAAATCAAACCTCCGTCTCCGTCCTACCCGCTTGGCATGGGGCGAATAAAATGAAACCAGCACAATCTCGTTTTTTTCCCGAGCACGTGAACGTGCATACGTAGGTACATATCTGTCATGGTGCTGATGCTGCCGGTAATTTTACATTCCATTTGATCGGATTCAATTACATCCAGTCGATCGATCGGTAGGAACCACCGCCCCCTTACCCCCCCCCCCCCTTTATTTGGATTGGTTTATGCTCGGTGAACTTACCCCATCGGGATGGAACCGTGTCGCCGACGGAGTCGTGGGCGAGCAGAACTCTTGCAGTACGTTCTGCAGCTTTTTCGTTGAATCTGTAGGCGGAAGAGTAAAAGAAAAGATAAACGTTAAACTTAGTGAATGACGGAAAACGGAGCTGCACACTAACTGACTAACTGGTGAAGACAGTCGGCATGGAACGGGGGATGAAAAGCATCGGATTTCAAAGGGAGCAAAAGGCTAGGTTTCACTTACATGAGGCGAGGTCCTGCAGCTGTTGGAATTCACTTGGCGAGAGTTTCTCCCACTTGTAAACCGTCGATGCCATCATTGCTGTTTGATCTGAAAGGGGAAAAGGAGGAGAAATTCGGAATGACAAAGTAAGTCAGATGAAAAATTGCTGGTTATCGCTGCTACATTCATTCATGTTGAAGGTGGCGGTGAATGCGGATTTCAGAAATTAGTTTCGTTGCAATGCAGATATAGTGGAACGTAACGTGGATAATAAATCAAATGATGTCCATTCACCAAAAGCGAGTGGAGCGGATCGTTGGTCCCCTTTCTATTTAAGCTGATCAGCAAACAATGACAAATGTAATAATTGACTGATTGACGACAAATAAATGAAATAAAATTCATTTTGAATCGACGTGTGTTCCGATCTGGGGGGGGGGAGCGAAGTGCTGTTAAATCAGCCTACCGATCATTCTTGTATGAAACTGGTTCCAAACGTAAACAAACACTGTAGGTTTCTTATGGCTTGTTTACGTTTGGAACCAGTTATGCGAGGTAGGCGACGATTGTACGTATTTGACAGCCACCTCCCCCCCTTGGTTCCGATTGGCAAGACTACGCCAATCGTACAAACTTAGCAATTATTACCGGCATCGGTAATTTTTATGGAACTTTCAACAGCTGAACTATTCGGTAAAATCAGACATTTTAATTAATTAATTTTAATGCTTCAACACAAGAAAAACTTCACCACAATGGAAAATCTCGATTTTTTAAAAAGGCTGACAAGGTTTTGAAATTATTTTTAAGTGAAACAGCTTTCGAAATGAGGGTCAAAGTTTTATCGAACGGTCAGCTGTTAAAACTTCGGTAAAACATTACCTAAATCGGTAATAATTTCTAAGTGAGTACGGACCTCAAAACGGCATTCGATAGAGTAGATTCGAGAGGGTCTAGTATAAGAGAGCAGTGGATTCAAAACAAACTGCCTTGGAAACCCAAGTAGCACACATCTGTCACTTACATCTGCCAATGTAATCAAGATAGGCGCTGCTCGATTGGCTCTGGCTTTGACAGTTTGTTTGGCTCAAAACCAGCCAGTCCGCTCTATAATCGCTATATTTATAGTCTGGCGGATAGAATCTCGGGAACCAATTGAGCTGTCAAATATCGGAACTAATAGAGCATATCAGCTGTTGTGAACAAAACTTCGGAAACCCCTTTCATGTGGCTCAATGCTCGCCTACGCAGACCAACACCATCATCGGGTTGGAGAAAGTTTCTCCTATCCGATGATGTTGTTAATTTCCATTTGTTTGGCGTGGAAAGACCTATCAAAGATTCGTTTATAAAACTTGATTGTACCTTTTCAAATATTGGTTTACAATATATTTAATTGGTTAGCCTTTTTGATAGATCGAAATTCTATCCACCAGACTATGAATATGGCGACTGTAGTCGGCTACTCTCATACTAGACTAACAAAATTATTGTAGCTTGTGTTATTTTGTTCCTCAGAGTTTTGTATCAACCGTTTGTTACAGTTTAGATGCAGGATGTAGTTGAAATAACAAAAAATCTTCTATCTATTATCAAAATTATAACTTCTCTTGTCAGTGCTGAGATTTGTCATTATCAATGACAGACTTCCGCGCGATATTGACAAAATTGATTTTCACATAATGACTTGATTCTCAAAAAAACGTTCGTCAAAATATCATTCATTTTTTCGTCAATGTGGGTAACAAAAAGTGTGATTTCTAGACTAACATTTGAAAAGGGCGTAACTCCAAAATGCCCATATCGGGAAAATCGCTTCCGAATTTTGATTACTTAAAAATTAATCCTATTTTACGACTTTCCATTTTCTGGATGATTTTATAAGCTTGACATATAGTTTATAGTGTAATCTATCATCATGCCTAACTAAAAATTCGAAAAAAGTTTTCTTTGTCGTGTAATTGAAAATAAAACATTATACCTGTGTGTAAAAGCTGTAGGTAAAATATGAAGTATCCGATTTCGATGTTATTCGGTAAGACGGTAAAATGTGAGAACGAGAGAGTTCTGTCAGATAAAGATAGAGGGTATGAAAAAGAGAATACAGAAGTGTAAAATTTACGAATTGGAATAAACAGATCAGAAATCATTTTATGATAAAACAGAGTACAAGTGTTTTTAATTAACTTCCGGATATCTACCCCGAAACCATATATACCAAAGTCCCATCTATTAAAATACCTACGCCCTGATAATTTCTTACATGTTGATACCCCCGGATCTTCCATCCGAGTAGTTTGTGAACTGTTCTCTCTATATGTGGCAAAAGATGGTTTGTTTACATTTTGGAATTACGCCTTTTTTCAAATGTTAGTCTAATTGTTATCCAAGCAGTTCAGGGCGTAGATGCTTGTTCACTTGAACGGCTCCATGTAATTGTTTTGCCCAACTCATTTACTTTCGATACAAATTTAGTTAATAATAAAAATCTACACATGCTCGTCACAGACAGCATTGAAACTGACAATTCTAGAATTTGCATTGATCGATTCTCTTCATGGACTTTCTCCTTCGTCAATAACTCAGTTGCAAAACCTTTCCCTGTTGTATTTGACGTTTTGTACGCTAGATAAGAACCTCCTTTATCAAACTATGTGGTAGAATTAGCGCGAAATCTGTTTGCACAGCAGTGGTTATGAGAAGAGAGAGTTGATGAGGAGAATCATTCAAAGCAGATAGGACAATTTGAAATGTTCAATTATGGACATGGTTTGCCTTGACGAAGACTGAGCTGCCCTAGTAGCACGCTTGTCACAAATCTGCTGTGGCAACTTATTTACAACTTATATTAGTAATAAACAAGTTGCTGCAACTTAATGTGACGGAAATGTGCCACTCGGGTGAAATAAGTGACTAAAGCAGAATTATGAATATCACCGTGTATTGTCGAGATTTCACAGCACTGACTCTAGTTTGGGTAGTATCATATTTCTAACATAGATTGTTACAAATTTACACATTTAATTTTAGGAGAAAGTTAGAAGATACTGAGAAGAATGCACATATCGTCGCTAAGACAAGGCATCCTCAACAAGTTGAAGGAAAAGGATGTCCTAATGTCCACAACAGGTACAGCAAAACATAACATATATGCTCGTAATATCACGCGTGATATTGGAACAAAATATTATCATGCTTGATATTGATTTTACAAGCTTTTTTGATATTGCGAGACTATTCACAGCGTGCAAAAATCAAGCTGAGAGTTGACTCGACTCAAAAACGATTCCGTTGCACATCGTTTTCTTAGAAAGAGAAAGTATAGCTTGCTGTCTCTAGTTACTCTTTACCGATGGCAGACACGAAGTGGCTGCTGCCAGCCGTTATTGAAGTTTCGGTTGCATTCGGGTGTAAAGCAAAAATCATGAAACTCAATCTCACCACAGTTTGGTGAGATTTGCAGCTGGTGAGTTTTGTTAGCTTGGTATTCGGAACTGCGATATCACAGCTTGCTAATTTAATCGCAGTTGTTTGCTTGTTGATTTTTGTCTACGAAAATCAAGCGTGATCTTGGGCGTTGGACAGTGGTGCAAAAGGCCAAATCCATGAACTTTTTTCATTCGCACATTTTACAGTGGTTTTTTTAATACGGTGTCTTGAAAAGAGTATTTATAAATGACAAGACCCATTGAATGAAGTTAAGTTTTAGTTCGAAACTTCACCACAGGTGGTGCTGCAAAATCTAACTTTTTAGTTTGACCAGATAGAGATATAAAGTCTTCAGCTAAGTTGCAGTTTGCTTTATAAGTAAAAACTTTATACAAGACGCCGTGTCTCTATCTGCTTGCGATTTTGAGTTATGAAGTGGTTTTTTATATAATGGTCTTAAAAATCCGTTTATTGTAAATATTTCCGAAATTATTTGTTTAAGATGACTATAATGTTGTGCAACTTTTTAATAATCAATAAAATACACAACTTTGCTCAAGAAAAAAAGGTTATATCTGCAAAACAGAAAATGTTATAGGCAATATCAGCACAAAAATAGCCAAATTTCAAGCATCCACAAACTTCAACGAGGCAAAAAGGGGCAGACGGCTCCTCAATATGATGAAACTATAGTGAAAATACTATCATTTCATCTAGTAGTCATTTGTATCCCGTTGTATCCATGTGAGCTGACCAATGTTTGGCTGTCTTGCAATGAGCACTCATACATAGGTTTTCCAGTGAAAACTAGATGATATAAGCCGTCTGTACAGTGTATTAATATTTGCTTCTATTAGGCCGTTCGCAATGCTGTTGTATTTTATAAGGACTGTTTCAATTTGAAACTAGAACAGAAACGCACCTCTCGCAATGCTGAGTTGCAGTTTCATTATTCGAGCACTATTTTGCACCAGATTTGCAACTGCTCGACTATTCTGTTTTATTTCTGAGCGAGTTTGAAACACGAATGGAACTCTGTTTCAAATTTCTTTGGATGTGTTGAAGATGTTTCGAAGAGCTCCACAAAAAAAACCGGAGAACTTCATAGAGAACAGTAAAGTTTATGGAACTTGATGATTACAAACATGTTTTAGAGCTGTGCGTTGCGCTGATCGTGTTGCAGTTTTATTTTTGACAGTTTCAAATTATAGAATTGACGAGTAGTTTGAAACAATTTTGAAACTCAGCATTGCGAACGGCCTTGTACGGCTTGTGTGTCTCAAAAGAGCCCCAAGTTTTACTTCAGCTGAAGTTTCTGAGATCAGCAAGGATTCTTTTACGGGGTAACAACTTCTCTTTGCATCCGACACTTTGTGGTATGAAAGATAAAGGTTTGCGTTGCGCTGAACGGCACCTTTACGCAATCTTTCATATTGATTTTTCGTCATATTCAGATCCATGACAAGAGCTTCATTATTTGTAAACGGAACAAGAGATTTAGAAACTTAACTTTGCAATGACGACACTTGCGTTGCTATCGGTGGACTCCTTTGTGCAATATATTGCACAATAGTCGCGGAATCGTGTTTACCCTCCTCTCTTAGTTTCATTTGAGTATCTATCCGATGTCCGCTGTTGTCTTCGAATGCCAGTAACTTTCTGCCACGTTTAGCAGGGGA